AACTGCCTGTTGACATCTTTACTTGGACACCTCACAAGCCCTTCCAACTTCCTACACCCCGAACTGAAGTCATCATCTTCCCTTAAGAAAATGATCCCTTCCCCAGTCTCCCCACGTGGCACGTTGACACCATCCTGTACCCAGGTGCCCTTCCCCTCCCATATGAAAGCCAGCAACTGAGTCCTGAAGGTCACACCATAGAGTCCCTCCCCATCCCTCCCCTCCCACTGCCCCCTTGTCCTCCTCAGCTTGATCTTCACCTGGCCCCTGCCCCAATCAGTCAGATTCATCACCCTGCTTCCTCCCTTACCCCTTCTAACCCACTCCCTAGAAAGAAGCCCAAATGATCCTAGAAATAATAAGTTAGAATCACCTTCTTCCTCTACTCAAAATTCGTCACTCCTTTCCCCTTCCCCTGGAATGAAACTCAAGCTCCTCCCCTTGGTTAATGAGTCCTGCACTGCATGGTCCTACCAACCCATCACCCCCCAAGCTAAACTCAAGTGACACTGGCCCTCCTTCAGTTCCTCAGACACACCAAGTTGCTCCCTGCCTCAGGACCTTTGCACACGCTGTACCTTGTGCAAGGAACACTCGCCCACCCCTACCCAGAGAGCTAGAGAAACAGAGAGAGGAAGGGCATCACTCCTCTTTGCTGGCTCTGTCACCTGCTCTAGGTCCCAGTTGATAAGTCACATCCTCAGCAAGGCTCCCTTCTACAGCAGATCTTCCAAGTACTCTCTTGGCATGGTTGGTTCTGTTGAAGTAGTTACCCCCACATTGTAAAGCCAACAGATAGGCTCCTAATCAGTCATCCTGTCTTGCCCTAGAGTCCAGGTGTCATTCCAGATTGCACTCCTCTGCCTCCTGGACTCACCCACATCTCAGCAATGGTCACACCAAACCATTCTGGTCGACTTTGTATCTCCAGCACTCCCTGAGCTCTGTCAGGGCAGAAACTATATTTATCTCCCCCATCATCATATTATCAGCACTTAGCACAGTGCCTGACACACAGCAGGTCTTCAACAAAATATTTGCCAAATGAAGGAGTCATGAGATCTGAAAGCACTTAAGGTTTGGAGCAAACTTTCCTCCAAGGCCAAGGGACATAAAAAACAAAACAAAACAAAACCAGCTAAAGGTGGCCCATGCTTAAGTTTTTAAATTTTATATGTAAAGAAAGAATGAAATGATCTTGTGCTCATTTTATTTTCAGATAAAGAGGAGCATAAAACCACGAGGCATACCAAAAAAATGAAATTTTATAGTGTGGTAAGTAAAAAAGAGAAGGTTGGGGACCAATCATTGGTGGGGGGAGGAGCCGTGGTACAGTACAGAAATAGAAACATGTAGAGATAAAGATGTAGAGATAAAGAGAGATCAGAGAGAAACCAGCAGAAGTATCTAGGCAAGGTACAAAACAGGGCTTTGCTGCTTTTCTGGGAACGAAAGGGCAACCCTCCAGATTTCGAAAGGGGTTTTCACTCCTACCTAAGGGGTAAGAACACTTGTCTTAAGTCCCCTCTTCACTTCATTTTTCAAAGAAGTTTTCTAAAAACTGATTTACTATGCTAAAAATCAGTGGTTAGCACATTGCATTTTGAAGAGAACACAATCTATTCAAACGAATTTTTTTTAAATACTTCACTTTGTATCTTTAGAGAATGTGGCTACAAACTTTTAAGTCAGGCACTGGGTTTTTCAAAGTTACAAGCAAGAAGAGGGACGGATCCTTGGGGGCTGTCAGAAGGAGGCGCATGAACTTCAAGCACAGTTCAGCAGGGTCTTTTGAATTGTACATCCCACTCATTCCCTTTTCTGGAACTTTCCATGACCCCGGCCCTAGATGAAAGGGTGAGCAGAGCCTACCACTGCACATGGTCCAACCTCTCAGGCCAAGCCACCTAAACCAGTGGGCCTTCCCAACCAGGGCCAATTAGAATCTCCCTAAGAAATCACAATTTGGGCCCCAGTGAGCTGGTGCCAGGATAGCACATAAAATTGATAGGCAGGAGGTGTGGGCAGTTTTCCACCGGGCTTTCTCAGCCTCATAAGAGTAAGAAGTCAAGGAAAGATGGTCTGCAGAGAGACGTGAAAAATCAGGAACATTGTGTAGCAGGTAGAGCCAGACCTGGGGGTCCAAATCCCAGGCCCACTGGACAGCTATGACCCTGAACAAGTTCCTTGACATCTCCTTGACCTAATTGTAACCTGCTTCCTAAGGCTCCTTTGAAGATTGAATAAGTCAACACATACAGCACTTGGAAGAGGGTCCAGCCCACAGTAAATGCATGCTGAATGTCAACCGCTCCTGAGGCCGAGGATTTCTCGCTGTTTTGTTCATACCATATCCCAGAATCTAGAACCGTGCCTCCTACACAGCAGTGCTCAACCCACGTTTGATGAGCGATCAGGGAATGGAGATACCACACAGCCCTAAGAGGACAGAGACCATGAACAGAGCCTGCTAACTCTCTCCTGATCTCAGCTCCTACCTACTCCAATGGAGCAATCAGAGGCGGGTCTTATCAAAGCCTAAATCAGATCATGTTTCTTTCCTGCTTCTCATATCTCAGGATAAAGCCAAACTCTACACCCCTGGCTACCCAGGCCCTGCATGCTCTGGCCCCTGCCTACCTCCCTCCCCCTCCCTCTGGCTTCCTGCTCCGGTTACACTGGCCTCCTTCATTCCTCTGACATGGTTCTCTCTGCTTCCTTCTACCTCCGGGCCCTTGCACGTGCTGTTCTCCTGATGCATCCTCAGCACCAGGCTCCTTCTCAGGGAAATCTTAGCAGATGTTCTTCCCTTGTTTTCATTGGCTCCTCCAGTTTACATGCCCAGAACCTCATGTTCTTTTCCTTCATGCTTCTTGTCACTGTTTGTACTTTTATCATTTACGACTATTTAGTCAATAACTCTTTCACCCTAGACCATAAGCTCCATGAAGAAAGAGAGCATAACTTCTTTTTTATTCTTCATTGTATTTTAGTATCAAAAACAGCATTTGGCAAAAAGAAGGTGCTCAACATATATTTGCAGAATGAATCCATTTGTTGAATGGGTTGACTGAACAAAGAAGTACATTTGGGACCATTCTCAAGTCTAGCTTCTTCCCGAGTCTCCTGGCCTGCTTTTGCAATAGTAGCCTCCTCAGACAAGCCCCTAAATCCCCCTTCCAATCTGCCTTGAGTTTTTCTTTCTATCACTGCTAAAGGCTTTGACTCCAATCCACAGACTAACACCACCCTCCAAGCCGGAAGTCCCCATCCTAGAATCAATAAGCCTAGATCAATAATGACATAAAGACTTCCTTTCCCAAAAAAAGCAATTTTCATGCATGACAGAGTAAATGGTACCAGACCAGCCCTCCCACCATCAACAACCGTTAAGTCAGGACAAACCTATATAAGGCAACGGTTGTCAGGCATTATTAGACGGCAGGCAGCATAAGACTGTGGTCACTGGGGAAAAGGAAACACAGGAGGTGAGCATACATTCACTCTAGCTCTCCACCTGAGGACAGCTTCCATACCACCAGCATGGAGTCACCTCCCCCACCAAGCATCCAAAAAGGTTATGCCTTAGAAATAAGGGTACGCCTTAGAGAAAGGCTTCCCTAGACCTGCCCTGACAGAGTCTAAAAGCAAGTCTCAATGAAATTGACGCAGAAGGGAGCATGGGAAACATCTAGGGCTTCCCACAGGTCTACCCTCACAAAATGTAAACTCAAGTCCACACAAGTTCACAGTGATCAGCCCATTACTGAACTGCCTTCCACGGAAGATAACAAAATCCAGAGTCTTTATAATGTCCAGTATACATATTATCATCCCAACATCAGAAGATAATCAACAATTACTAGACATGCAAAGAGAGAGGAAAATGTGGCTCATGGTCAAGGAAAAGAAGCAAGGAATAGACACAGATCCCAAAATAGCTATGATGTCAGCTCTAGAAAAAGCAACTGTCAGGATTTATAAGTTCCTAATATTATCATAACATTCGTTAACCAGGTGTATACACTGAAAGCACCTGTGGAGATTTCAGGGTTTGGGGGTTTGTGTTTTTTGTTTGTCTGAGTTCTACTCATGTAGTTTCTCATTAAGTAGTCTCAGGAGATGCTTAGGCATCTGCATTGTTAACCTCTCTAGAGGGTTCTAACGCATCATATAATTCTTATCATAGAATACATCCACTTTAAGGCAAATACAGATAAAAGGTAAATTTATATGTACTGAAGGTTCTGCTTAATTGAGTTGGTTGGTGAGCACCAATCAGCAGTCTTGGGTAACACAGATTACACAATTAAGAAAGATAATTTCAACTCTAATTATTTTGCAGAAAAATGCACATGTCTCTACTTATTTGGGAAAAAAAAGTCTGAGGTTAAATCAAAAGCCACAGACATAAAAGATAATGATTAAGAAAAAAACAGAAGGAAATGCTCATGGTATAATATAAAAAATATCAGAGTACCAACCACTGTAACATCAAGCATATAAATGTACATTAATAGACATTGCCATGTTTGTGAATAGAAAAGGCAACAATAAATATATAAAATGCTAATAGTTATTTTATGTGTAATTTTAATTTTCTCCTAGTTTTCTATATTTTACAAGAGTGTATGGAATTTCCTCAGTGGACTTGCATCTGAGAAATTTAAGCACAAAATAATGGTTTCAGAAAACTTCTGTCAATACACAAATCTCTGCAAAATCTATCCATTTTTCCATCAGAAAGAGAAGGGAAGAAGTAGCTTGAGCAAGAATATCATTTCTATCCTTATCCAGCTCAGGAAGACTTTCTTCTCTGGCCTCTGAGTAACTGGGCCAGCTTCTGATACTAATTCCATCTCAAGTTTTCCCATCCGTCAGACAAATAAGAGGCTGAGAAACATACCACAACCCAACAAGCAACAGGCAGTGGCTGAGCAGAAGTAGCTCCCCTACTGGCAAATGAAGGGCACAAAAAGGAAAAGAATTCAAGTCCGTACCTGAACGACAGGGTGGCCACCAGTTGGAGCTTTGACAGCCCCTCGGCTGCCTTCGGTCTCATAGTGGGCCCGGTGATGTGGCTTGGGCTGCACCTCAATCCGCAGCTCATAGGAGCCCGACTGGTGGGACAGTGGCCACTCAAGCGGAGGGAGGGATGCGGTCACTGGGATGCTGAAGGAGGAAACAGAATCCGTCATGTATACGAGAAATTGGAACTAGTCAATCTGTACAATAAATGTAAATGGTCCCTTTTCTGGAAAAATCACGTCCAGTGAGTATAAGAGTAAAATACTGGCTGTTGGAAAGCACATATTTCTCAGAAGGATAGGTAGGACACCTCACAAGGTAGAGAGATCTTTTTCTTGGTTTTCTCTTCCATCTTTGATGACAACAGTGTGACTGACATCTCCATTTATGAAGCTAACTTCATGACATGTGAATTCTAGCATATTTCTAACTACTATAACTTCTTTTCCTCTGGGAATTTTGAAGAGTACCACCTCCTACCTCTAAAAAAATCACCCTTTTCCCAGAATGTTCTCCCATTCCAAAGGAATAAGTGTGGGAGAAGGTACACTTTCCCTGAAGGTATTTCCCTGAAGTGGAAATCAGGGGCCCACGTGTGTCACTAATGCGCTGTGTTAGTTTAGCCAAGTAACCTCACCTCCTCTATCTTCAGTGTCTTATATAATAACATAACAAATGGACCAGATGGCACTGGAGGGTTATTTCAGCTCTTATTTCCAAGTCCGATGCTTTCAATTAAAAGCTAATTCTAGACAGAGACCATTTCCAGTCAGAGCCATTGCTTATCACAGCACGTATAGAACATCTAACCATAGAGATGTGGCTAAATTTAGAGACCCCTAAATTTAAAGGAAGAGTAAAGGTCAAGAACGTGACTGGAGTTACCCACCCAAGTTTAAGCCCAAGCTCCACCTCTAACTACTTTGAGCAGATGCCTCCCCTCCCTAGGCCTTGGTTTCCTCAACTAAGAAATGGGGATACTGAAATCATATAAAGAGCTTAGCGCAAGAACTCCTCAAATGAATATTAGGCTATAATTATGTTCCCCTATATATAGTGCATATTTCAAATAAATAATTATCTCCTATAGACAATCTAAATTACTTGTGGTTATAGTATTAGATATATATGCCTTTACATCTGAAGTTGTAATGACATGACTTAAGTTTTATTTTCCTATCGAAATCTTTTTTTTTAAGATTTTATTTATTTATTTGACAAAGAGAGACAGCGAGAGAGGGAACCCAAGCAGGGGGAGTGGGAGAGGGAGAAGCAGGCTTCCCGAGGAACAAGGGAGCCCGATGTGGGGCTCGATCCCTGGACCCTGGGATCATGACCTGAGCCGAAGGCAGACACTTAATGACTGAGCCAATGTTCTTCTCCAATCTCAATCATTACATGAATCACATTCTGGACACTGATCTGTAGCAGTCAGAACAAGGAGGAGACAAGAACCTGAGGTTCTAAGTTTCCAACGCAGTCATTAACCAGCTGGGTGATCCTGGGCACGTCCCCTCACCTCACCAAACCTAGGTTTCTCAACCTGTACCAGGGTTGGCCTTAATCAGCATTTCCTAAGGTGGCTCCATACAACTTTGGTCACAGAACTCGTAACTCCATGGTCAAATGGCCTTTGAAATCACTGCCTGTTCTGTCCACAGCTGGGAGTGGCCCCTGCACCAAGATATCTGTTTAACTCTGTTGAACTCAGAAACTCCTTTTTTAAAGAGCACCAATCAACCTATGATGTGGCACCAGTGTTCTCAGAACTGTTCTGGAGGAGGGGCCAGACTGAAGCTCCCCGTGGTCCAGTTTGGTCTGTGGGTGGGATAAGCAAGGCCCGGTGGACAGAGCTCTTGTCTACTCTCATCCCATCAATCGAAACAGCTCTACCACAATCTATTTTGGTATTCAATTTAATATTTGCCAAAAAAAAAAAAAGTTTCCATTTGCTAAAAACAAACATGCTTTGAAGAATCTAGGGCCTCAGGGCACCTGGGTAGCTCAGTCAGTTGAGCATCCGATTCTTGGTTTCAGCTCAGGTCATGATCTCGTGGGTCTTGGGATGGAGCCCCACGAGGGGTTCCATGCCCAGCGGGGAGTCTACTTGAAGATTCTCTCCCTCTGCCTCTCCCCCACTCTCTCTAAAATAAATGAATAAATCTTAAAAAAAAAAAAAAAAAAGAATAGAGGCACCTGGGTGGCTCAGTCGGTTAAGCACCTGCCTTCATTCAGCTCAGGTCATGATCCCGGGGTCCTGGGATCGAGCCCCATGTCAGGATCCCTGCTCAGAGGGGAGTCTGCTTCTCCCTCTCCCTCTGCCGCTCCCCCTGCTCATGTGCTTCCTCTCTCTCTCAAATAAATAAAATATTTAAAAAATAATAAAAATAAATACAATAAATAAAATTTTTTTAAAAAGAATCTACAGCCTCATGTTATTACCATTACCTCATGGTTTTCAAAGTGTTGGGATTATTTTTACCGTCATTGTGATGGAATATCATCTGCTTCTAACCTCTGTGAGCCTCTTTTCTTAGCATCAAAATGAAGGTAAAAATAATACCAGCCAGGGGTGCCCGGGTGGCTCAGCAGGTTACATGTCTGCCTTCAGCTCAGATCATGATCCTGGGGTCCTGGGATCAAGCCCTGCATCGGGCTCCCTGCTCAGTGGGAAGTCTGCCTCTCTCTCTCTCCCTCTGCCCTTCCCCCATGCTTGTGCACACAGCAAGCATCCTTAAATACTGGTGATTATCACTGTCACTGTCATTCCTCTAACAACCATTGGGAGCTCAATCTCCTAGGACAAGGCTCACTGATGAGAAAGCACTCTCTAAAGTGCTTCCCCCACAATAATAAGAGGATTCACCTATAAAAATAATTGCTGCCCCCCTTTTTTTTTTTGCACTCTTACTTTGTACAGGCTCCATGCCAAGAATTTGATATACATCCTCTCACCCAATCCTTGCAAAAAAAACAAAAACCAAAAAACCATGCTGAGGTGGGACTGCTATTATCCTCATCTCATAGGGAATGAGCTAAGGTTTAGTGTTGTGCTCAGTGACAAAGGGGGTCCTGATTGATTAGCAATGCCTGCCCTGGGAATGGCATCAAAAAGGTGCTCAGTGAGAAAGAGGGCCTGCACGATTAGTGATGCCTGCCACGGGCACAGCAGGAGGGCAGCACCAGATCACACAGCCAGTGAGCAGCAGAACCAGGACTCAAATCTAGAACCGACAGAACCGACAGACCCTACAGACCATCTACATGCATCTCTTCAGCTTACCACCATTTTAAGCTCCTTGAGGATTAGGGCTCACACTTTCTTTTTTTAGGACCTCCGGATCACTGACTGCAGTACAGAGGCACATAGCAGATACCAACAATTATCAATTTCTCTTAAAACAGGACTGTGAATTCCACACATTAAGGCTTGCTCTGTGCTTCCCAGAATGTCAGCTCCCTGAAGACAGAAATTTTTGCCTATCTTGTTCACCGCCGGCTCCCCAACACCTGTAACAGTGCGTGGCTGGCCCATAGCAGGTGTCTGATAAACACCTGTTCCGTGAGTGAATGAATCAGCCAGGTGCCCTACCAGCGATCGCTTGCATCGTCAAGACCACCACCTGGTGAGTTAGGTACCCTCAGGCCCATTTTACAGATGGGGAAACCGCAGCTCGGAGAATTTAACTTCCTTGCCAAGGCCTCACAGGCAATAGGCGGAGAGCCAAGACGTGAACCCTGTCTAGCACCCCCTAACCAGAAAAGGTCCCCTAAAAGTAAACCGTGGACCACACCGCTTCCCGGCCCGCTCACCTGCAGATGGGAATAGCAGGCACCAGCTGCTTGGGCCAGGTGGGCGGCACCAGCAAGATGGACTCGGGGGCGGAGCTTCTCCCCTCCTCCTGCTCGCAGGGGCCCAGGAACTCCACGGCAGGGTAGATGTGGCGGGGCAGGCCGGCCTTGGGCGGGGCGGCGGACACCGGTGATGGGTCGGGGCTCGTCTTCCACATCTTGGGGGGGATGCCACAGGGCGAGTCCGCGGCGAGGCTGTTCAGGGCATCCATGAGGACGGCAGAGCCCGCCGTGGGGGGGTACCCAGCGGGGGCACCGTCGTCCTGGGGCTGCGGCGAGGGGCTCCGGGAGCGCTGGGGTGAGGCTCCGGGCAGCGGGGCAACCAAGGCCCCGGCACACGAATGCCTCCGCTTGGCACCAGGCGACGAGGAGCGGGAGGCCGGACGGGGCACGGGCGAGTGGCGGCCCAGGCAGCTGTCCTCAGCGAGGCTGGTTCGAGGTGACATTATTGGCGAGGTTCTGGGGGAATAATGAGCAGGGATGTTTTGAAAGTGGGGACACAGGTCGTCGGGCCCGCCGTTATTGGGCGAGACGCAGGGCGAGGCGCAGGGGGAGAAGGTGTCGGAAATGAAGCTGGCAGAGGACCCGCTACTAGCCGGGCTCAAGCAAAGCGGCTCGCGGTAGCCCTCGAAGCCGGGAACGGGCAGCGTGAACCGCGGGCTGGCGGCCGCGCCGGCCAGGGCCGGCTGCTCCCCGAGCAGGCCAGTGTCTCTCCCACGGAGGGGGCCCCCTGCCTGCATCAGTTCGTGAGATGGAGTGATCTCGATCCGAGGGCTCAGGCCCGAGGCCCCCGCTGGCTTGGCCGCCGGGCTCAGAAAGTTCTGCGGCCCTACCCTATCGGGCTCTCCGAATCGGCCGGGGGGCTCGCCGGGGAGACTGGGGAGGGGGCTGTATGGCTTGAGGCCATAGTCCAGGACTTCATCGGGGTATGCGAGTCCGGAGGGTGGGCTGGCGACCTTATGTGCATTCGGTTCTTCTGGAAAGAGAAGGGGGGAGGGAGGGGTCTTTTTAAGCCTCTAAAACAGAACTCCCGTGCAGAGCAATCACAGGCTGGGTTTTGTCTCCTGTTTTGTTTGTTTGTTTGTTTTTGTTTTTTCTAATCCCCAACACACCAAACCCCAAGCTGGAGCCTCCTTCCCTCGCCAGAGGAAAGGGAGGCCACTTCATCCCAGATTCCTCGAAGAGCGAGACCAAAGCTTGAAAGATTTTAGAGCAGGTGCCCAGAGCACAGCTCATCCAAGCCATGCAGGACGCGCTGGGCCCGTGGCTTCCAAACTTGTCGTTCTGTGGAACCCTTGGGAGAGATTCATTTCATTTCACAACTCAGTTCACACCGTATTTACTGGAGACTGAAACAAAAGCTTCACGAAACAATACTTACCCTGCTACATACAATACACTCTTCTCTGGGGCTATTTGGCTTAAATGCTGGTCATAACTCATTTGACAGATTTCCTGGCCCACCAGTGGGTCATGACCCACAGTTTAGAAACCACTGACCTGGCTTACGTCATCATTCTGCATGTATGGTACAGCCCCAGGATGCAGGGGGAGACTGCACCGGCTCTGGAGTCCAAGGGGCTCTGGGTTCAAATCCCAGCCTTTCACACCCACGTGTAAATAGTGGCTTAATTTAGAACGAGGACTCCTGAGTCATGTCTCATCTTGTGCCATTTTACAGATGCGGAAGCTGGGGCCCAGGGAGGGGACGAGATTCACCCAAAGACACAGAATTTGCAGGATAAGAAATTCCACAGACAAGCCCCTTGGCCCTCAAAAGGCAGAGCCATGGTTCTGTAGTCTCTCAAGCTATTGAAAACAGTGGGTGCAGAAAGATCTCATTTTTCTTTAGTAGCGGCCTTCGGCTGCCGCCTCGAAAGGACCCACGCTGGAGAGCGGGTTGAGTGAGGAGGGAAGGAGCTGTTCTTCCCCGCCACCCTGACCCTCATCCAGCGCCCTGTCGGGGCGTGGGTCAGCCTGACTCCTCTCTTTCCCACACCTTACATCCAATCCACAGTGAATCCTGATGGCCCTACTGTCAAAACATAAGCCACAGGTTTGCGTGTCTCCTTCTCCACCACAACCCCTCTGCCCTAAGCCACGAGCCGCCCTCTCTCACCTGGACCTAGTCACCATCCCCCTGGACTCCCCACTTCTACCCTCGCCCCCTCCAGTCTGTTCGCCACGCGGTGGACTCTCGAAACGCCCAACTGCAAAACTTTAAAAGCTTCCCCAGATGTGATCTAAAGTCCTTAACACACTTGTCCCTGAGCCCTGGCCCGTCTCGCCACTCATACCTCCCCACTTTTTCCCACCCTGACTCAGCAACAGCCCTGCTAACCCCTTTGCTATTCTTCAAGTAGCTCCCACCTTGAAGTTCTTGAGTGCTGTTCATTCTGCTGGAAGCTCTACCCCCCGAGATCTTCACATGGCTGCTTCCCTTAATTTCTTCCCGTGTCTGTTCATTCTCCGCCCTTTTCCCCTGCCATCTCTTCTCCGCTAACACCTGTTACCAGCTCACAACACATCAGGTATTATGTGTTGAGGGCAGCTCATCCTGATAGATCAGGGGCAAACTGCAGCTCCTGGGCCAAATCCGGCCCACAGACTGTGTATGTAAATAAAGTTTTATAGGAATGCATCCATGCACCTATTTGTTTACCTATGGTCTATGGCTTGTTTTTGCACTACGATAGTAGATAGTTACGACAGACAGTCTATGGCTCACAAAACCTAAAATATTATCTGGCCCTTTACAGAAGTTTGCAACCCGTGCACTAGACACTATGCTACCATTCTGGAACCATATCTACTGAGGCTCAGCACTGTTTGCCGAGCACCTAGCATAGGCTGTCCATAAACATCTGCTGAGTGACTGAGCAAACAATAGAAGAAGCATGCCCAAGGTCCAGCCAGCCAGAAATGGGAACTCTTCTTAAAGTTGTGTGACGGGCCCTTGCCTTGGGGAGCCAAGGTGGCGGCACAGGTGATCCTCAACCTCCTGGTGCCCTTTCTGGACCATCCTGGACTAAATGCTACCTGCTTTAGCTGCGCTGATCTCATGAGGTCCAGATGGTGCCCCCACCCCAGGTGAGAGCCCAAAAATGGCTTCCCACAGCTCTTAGGGTAAAGATGAACAACCTCAACTAGGCCAGCCTGGCCAGGCCCTGCCTGCCACCTCTGGCCTCGCCTCTCTCTACTCTCCCACATCTCTCCCTGGACTCCAAACAAATTGGCTGTCTTCCTGTTCTTAGAAAGCACGTACGGGGTGCCTGGGTGGCTCAGATGGTTACGCGTCTGCCTTCGGCTCAGGTCATGATCCCAGGGTCCTGGGATCGGGTCCCGCATTGGGCTCCCTGCTCCTTGGGAGCCTGCTTCTCCCTCTGCCTCTCTCTCTCTGTCTCTCATGAATAAATAAATAAAAAAGTTTAAAAAAAAAAGAAAGCACGTACGTCCTTTCTGCCTCAGGACCTTTGCACTTGCCGTTCCCTCTGTCACAACAGCTCCTCTCCCCCACCACACCCAGGCCCCTTCTCTACATAACTAAACTACTCATTCCTTCCAGCTAAAGTGTCATGTGCTGGGGAAGGCTTCCTGGTCTCCTTGGCTAAATTAGAGCCCACTCACGCTTCTCTGGTCTGCTCCGTACACTTCCCAAAATTCCAATTAAGTAATTCTGAATTTAGTTGTTTATTGCCTGCCTCTCTCCCAACCTCCAGCTCCACCCCTACCAACAGGAAATTCTATGAGGACTCTTGCACCCCCTAACGTATTCCTAGCACTTGGACAGGAGCCCCCCCCCAAAAAAATACGTGTTGGTTGGCTGAACGAATTTTTTTAAAAGTGAGTTCACAAAAGTCTAGATGAAATATTTAAACTGCTACTCAAAGATGCTAATATCCAAACCAAAAGGTAGAAAGATATAACCGCCAGAGGGTAACTTGGTAATATCTATCAAAATTCCAACATACGTATCTTTGGAACTAAACAATGTTGCTTTAGAAATTTATCCTGCAGGGGCACCTGGGTGGCTCAGTTGGTTAAGCAACTGCCTTCGGCTCAGGTCATGATCCTGGAGTCCCGGGATCGAGTCCCACATCGGGCTCCCTGCTCAGCGGGGAGTCTGTTTCTCCCTCTGACCCTCCCCCCTCTCATGTGCTCTCTCTCTCTCTCTCTCATTCTCACTCTCTCAAATAAATAAAATCTTTATAAAAAAAATTTATCCTGAGCTAAACCCTCATATGTGTCAAATGAAGTGTGCATAAGATTAGTTAATACTGCCCTGTTTGGGGACACCTGGCTGGCTCAGTCAGTTAAGCATCTGCCTTTGACTGAGGTCATGATCCCAGGGTCCTAGGATCGAGTCCCGCATTGGGCTCCCTGCTCAGCGGGGAGTCTGCTTCTCCCTCTTCCTTTGCCCCTCCCGCTGCTTGTGCTCTCTTTCACTCTCACTCTCAAATAAATAAAATCTTAAAAAAAAAAAAAAATACTGCCCTGTTTGTAATCCCCGAAGACTGGAAACAACCTACTGTCTATCAGTTGGGGATGGGCTGAATTCTGGTTTGTTCATACAATGGGATACAATGCTGCTAGATAAAGGGTTGGAAAAGTTCTTTCTGCATTGATCAGGAATGACAAGATACAGTGTCAAAGGAGAAAAGCAAGTGCACAGTATAAAAACAGAGGCTAAAAGAATGTATACACAGGTACACACACACACACACACACACACACACACACACCTTCCCGGCAGGTAACAGAGTGTAGATTTTTAATCTGGCAAGAGTTCAACATCAAATCCATATCCAACAACATTCTGATAATCCACTACCCTGTGAACCAGCACAACAAACCACAAAAAGTCTCTTAGCAAAAATTCCGGCCTTATCAGATGAACTGCATCACATCTCATCAGAAACACCCCCTCAGGCCTGACGTGAACAGTCACAGAAACTCGGCCATGAAAACACACATCCCTCACACTTGCTGGCAGCAACGCCAAACAGAAAGGCCCGTTTGCTGAGCAGAAGCATCCAAAGCATTTACACTGGTTTTAATTAATCCAAGCAGCAGAGATTTTTCCGTTTTCTTTTTCCTCTCGAGATTCTGAAAGTTTCACAGCAAGCAGGGAATGTGAAGGTAACTGATCATCATCCCATTCTCGGCTCTCTGGGTGTTTGACAGCGAATATCCCAGAACGCACGGCTCATTGTGAACACATTTCTGTAAGCAGCTAGGATTCTCAGCTCTCCCTCCTTGCACAACTGTCCCCCTCACAGCCAGCCCCTCTGGGTCACGGCCATGCCCACACAGCCACTGGGTGAAGTGAGTTTCATCTTAGAACCACCAGATTTTCAGACGGGTTCCCAAAAATCTTGCTCTTTTTACCCCGTGCATGATCTTTGCGATATCCATGTACCACCAGTAAATATTATTTACTTAATATTTCTATATTTAAATTCACTCACACAGTACTTTAATTTTTTTTTTTATTTTAAAAGGAAACTTTATACCACTACCACAAATGGAAAATTTGTGTCACCTCCGTAAATAGAAGGTAGGGTAAAAACACAATAAAAATAAAAGTTACTAAATTCGAGATTCAAGACACTGTGGCCGGCCAAAGGCTCTACCCTGAGGCCCAACCTTTTTCTGCCCCTGAATGCTCTCTTTTTATTGAGGTAGAACTTATATGTACAGATTTTGACTATGTAAAGTTCAATGAGTTTTGCCAAATGTTATACACCCTTGTAACCACAACCACAATAAAGATGTAGAACATTTCCACAACCCCAGTAAGCCTACCTTTTTTAAGGCTGGAGGTGGGGGGCAGGGAATGGCAAGTGCTAGAAAGAAAGGTGTTAAAGACACAGTAGCACCTAATTGAGACTCTACCTCAGACTCATTCAGAGCAAAGTAGCAAAAAAAATAGTGCTGGTTGCATGCAATGCACTCATCAGTGGACCACGTAAAATC